TTGTAGTTGTTGTGCGTGTTGATGTTGTTGTTGATTTATCAACTCCTTTCTCAATTGTATCCGTGAAGTCATAGAAATTATTTTCAACTCTGTGGTTATGCTGTCTTTGTTTCATGTCATTAATAATTTGAAAGTTAGGGCTGGCGTTGTTGTCATTAATTAGAAAGTTGTTGTTGTCACGTGATTTGTCAATGACGTTGCTGTCACGTGGTTTGTGAGGTTGCTGATTTATTGGATAAACATTTTTGTCTTTTAATGCGTTGCCTTTGCTATGCATTTGCGGGTACTGGAGTCCGAATTGTTGTTGATGTTGTGGTTGCTGTAGTTGTTGTTGCTGTTGTTGCAGTTGCGGAAGTAATAGCAGTTGTTGTTGTTGTTGTTGCGAATGATGATGATGACGATTGTTGACAACGTTGTTTGAGGACGATTGCGTCGATGGATGGCTGACGTGATGATGAATTTCGCCAGCGTTGACGTCATAATTGCCATTATTTTTCTTATCGAAACATTTCCACATCACCTTTTTGTCATCGTTGTTTTTGTTGTTGCCGAAAATGTTGTTGTTGTTGTCAGATATGTTGTTGTTGTTGTCAAATTTGTTGCTGTTGTCTAATTTGTTGTCGTTCGACTGGTTGTTTTTAGATAGTTGCTGGATATCGCAACTGTCTAATACGAACTCCACAACATCACTGGCGGATCTATACTTTGATCTTCGCGGCAGTTTCATTGGGATCTTGTTGAGGAGTTTGTTGTCTATGTTGTTGTTGATAATTTCGTTATTTATGTTGTTGTGGAAGATTTTGTTGTCTGTGTCGTTAGTTTTGTTGTTCAAATCCTTGTTAATTGTCTCTAATTTAGTGATAACTCTATCAACATTTTCGTTAACATAATCAACATTCTTGTTTATTTTTTCAACATTTCTTCTCATGACGTCATCGTCACTTTGCTTGTTGTCAGGAGAAACAACAACAACGTCGTTATCTTCACCGACGTATTTGTGATTGACATGTCTCGGTCTCTTGTAATG